AAGAACAAAATAGTTCACTGTAACCCAGCCTCTGCATCATATTAATATCTGGTGTGAGAAAGAAAGCAGTTAAACTTATAAAGAGAAGCTTCTAAGCAAATCGACTCTTCTCTTACGAGTAGATGCTGACCCTTTCATGGTTTGAAATGTCATGATGATTGGATAAGGCCAAATTTGATGCGTTACAAATATACGGTGCTATATGAGATTTCAAGAAGCTTTCGCATATGTTACCTCATTCGATCCATGCACAACCCTGGGGGGGCAGTAAATGGGGAGTCCCTTTTAAAGATGAAGCCACTGCCAAAGGTCAAACCAAAAAGTGACAAGGCAAGGACACAAAACTGGATCTTCTGCCTCCCAGGTCTGAATACTTTCCAATACATCCAAATTTTGAAAAATATTATTATTGGCTCTAGCCTCGTTCAGTGTACTCGCTAGACACATCAGGAAGAAAGGGAGGCAAAGAGGGAGGAAGCAGGAGAGAGGAGACTTTCTGAGTTTTCCAAATAGTCCCTGCTTTCTCTGATTATCCCCCGTCCTGTGTGCTCATTCTCATCACAGTGGACGGAGTCGCTTGTCCCTGTGAAAACTGTAGCTGCAAAACCAGTCCATGACCTTAAGCACCAGTCATGGGTGCAGGCTGTTCTTGGCTGGTTAGCACTCAGTGACCATTTTAGCAGCAGGATTGCTTTCTGTGAAAAGTTGTCTATCTTTCCTCAGAAACAGCCACTTGAGCTCTGATTAACAAACCCTGCCACCTATTATCAGCATCAAGGCAAATTTTGCTAACTTACTGGTTTGATATACTTCTTGGGGCTTTACTTGGAAATTCCCCCCAGATCTCCTTTGGCCCACCTTCCAGCAGTTGTCCAGTTAGGCTGCTCACTTTTATTTTTATCTCATTTTCTAGCAAAGTCAGCTCAAGAATGGAAATGTCTTCGCCAAGCTCTTGGCTTACAAACATAGGTGGGCTAGCGGCCTATTAATCACCGCCATGTGGACCTTTAATTTAATTTAGATCTTGAAACTGGTATGTTTATACAGTATCATAATGTATGAAAGTGATATGATATACAGTATCATAAATGAAGGCCAAGGAAAAAGGTCATTCACCTTGAACATTTATGAAAATTAGGTAGTGTTTTTTGCTGATGTGGACTTGCATGGCCCTTTGGAAAACCTCTTACCAATGTTCCACTCTACTTATTATTGAACAGGTATGAAAGAAATGTATTTATCTCATGAGTCTATCTTGTATTTGTAAAGTATTTTGAAATGTTTACATGAAAATATTGACTAGGCTATAGGAATATGAATTATTACTGTAAACGATAAGCATGAGGGAAGACTGTAACTCCAAAAACAGTCAATTATTTCTCAAACTAGTAAATATGAGCATATCTTAATAAATTAAACATTAAATAGTGATGAATCAAAGCTTAATGTTAATGAATATTAAGTAAATATTAGTAAACATAGGAGATATAAAAATGTATTGGATAGTCCTGGCTCTCAGTAAGCTTACAGTCTGAGTGAGAAAAAAAAGAGAAAAACATATAAAAATTAAATAAGATAACAATATGAGAGATGCCAAAAGACAATATATTGTTAATTGCCACCTGAAATGCAGTTAGCAGAATAACTACTATAGGCAGAGGAAAGGACATCATTTCCAGACGCAGTGGGTAGGCATAACTGTAAAATAAAAAAAAGTATCAGCCAGATCTTGAAGGCTGAATCAATTGAGACAGAGATGGAAGCGGATTCTCGGCGGAAGGAACTCAGTGAGAAAGAGTATACATATAAAAAAAGGACAAGAGTATAGAACCAAAAAGGAAAAAGAATACAGAACTGCATGATAGGGTGATATGGAAAGTTCTAGTAAGAGATAGTGCTGGAAAGGCTACTTGGAACGTGGCTGTCGATGGTTTTGAATGCCAAGTTGAGGAGCTAAGGTTTCTGAACAGAAAAGCATCTTAGTCAAAGCAGCATTTTAGAAATATTAATTTGGCTATGGTATGTCAGATTAAACGGAGTCGGGAGGACCAGAGGCCAGGAGATCAAAGGGAACCCATGGCCAGTTCAGGTGCGGGGTGATGGTAGTGGGATGGGAAAGCAGAGGAGGAGGCAGGAATTACTGAGGAAGAAGCCCGCCTCCTTTCAAGGTGCTCAATAGCATTTTTTGTTGGAGCTCTCTGCTGGTTTCTAAAGGATTGTCAAATCTGTGGGTTCCTAGAACAGTTGCAAGTGGGGAATAGCGAAACGGAGGAGTTATTCATTTTGAACTTGCAACATGTCAAACCTGTATAAGTAGATACCTTTAACCTTTTCTTCTTAATCTTGTATTCTTATCTAAGGACCAAAAATGTTAGCTCAAAAATGTCCAAAAAAAGCCCAAAAAACAATAAAACAAGGTGCCATGAAATGTAGGAATTAAGGAAGACCCAAGAACATTTTATTTTATTTTTAAAGAAAGCTAACTCTTGTTAAATAGGGACTATTCCAAAGTTTTCCATTAGTACGACCGAAGGAAAGCCCCAAGAATACCCGAGATCCCTTTACACCTGCAGCCCTATGTTGGTACTATTATTAAAATAACCTTCTAGGTTTGAATATTTGTGATTTAATGTATTTATTATCCAGAAATTCAGAGAAACTTGATGTATTTCTGAGTGAGCAGGAGAATTTGGGGACAATTCAAATCTGTTGCCCAGATATATGGTGGGTTTATGCATATACACACAGATACACATACACGTATGCATACAATTACATACATATTTATACATACGTTAAAAGTACTGGCACCCAGGCCTCTGCCCTGAACCTCTAGAACCAAGTTCTGGCCTTATCGTTCACAGAAATGCAATCCCTTCACTCTTCAGGGGCACTTAAGGTTGGCGCACAGATTCCAGTAACACCACTTGACAGAAAGATGGTGCCCGATAGAAACCTCCTCCCCACATTCCGCACACCTCACCCCACACAGCCCAGCACTCAGAACCCTTTTCCCCCACAGCATCAAATTCAACTTTCTAATCCTTTGGCTGCTTTGAGACTGCGCCTTGAGAGCGGGAAGAGAAAGAAGAGGAAGGGGAGACACGTCCGCAGCGACTCCCGTGAACGTGAACTCGGCGCCCCGCCCCCTTCCTCCTCTCCGTCTGGTCCCTCTTCTTTTCTTGCTCCGCCGCCTCCACCTCCCCAACTTGGCAGAACGAGGCTAACAAGTCCTAGAGCAAGGGTGAATAAACAATTAAATCACCCACTCCCACTGCCTTGTAACTCGTTGATTATCAAGTTTGGGCCTAAAGCAAATTTACAAGTTTGCATTTAAGTGAGAGAAGGTGGTTAAAAGTGCTTGACTTCATAAAATGAATAGGCATTGCTCTTAGTTCCCCGGTAGCTTTGGAAGTCAGTCTCTCTCTGCAAGATAAGAATGAGTTTCGTCCAGACGCTAGAAAGACGTGTAAGCATTACATAACATTTGCGTGCACCCATACATGGGTAATTAGAAGCTGTTTACTTCTCAAGGACTCAATTAAAGGCTTTGTATGTTCAAGCGAAGCTGAGAACCTTATCGTGGTCGAATCAGAGGAGGCGCTCCGGTGCTGCTGCTGCTTTGGGGGGTCTTAGCGGCTATCCTGTGGTCAATCGGCGCATGTAACGCCAGCGACTCACTAATTTCAAACCGATTCATTTCCCAATTCAGCAACGACTGATAAAGCTTTAAATTCTATAGGATTTTAATCCTCGGGTATTTATATATTTTCTTATCTCATCCCTCCCAACTAAGCCTAAAGCTTTGAGCATCCAGGAATTTGGGCAAAGGAGAAAACAACCCAGCAGACCAAGAAATCTGAAATCTCTGTTCATTAAATCAACCAAAATTGACAGTGCCTTTTTGTTTGTACTGACCCAAACACATTGTGTAATAAAACACAAAATATAGGTGTTATCACTGAACGTGACAAGTCTCAAATTTGTGTTCTTCTTTCGTGGCGGTGTCATTTACCCTGCGTTAACATTTGTGTTTCCTTAAGCCTCTCTCTTTATATTATCCACACACACTGTTGCATCATACTCACACATTCATTAGCTGGGACTGGGGAGTGTGTATTTTTCCAACCGATCCTCAGTGTCAGCTGTCAGATGCACAAACCTTCGCTTCCTTTCTGCATCTACTGCACTGGAACAACAGACGCTCCTTGCAAGAACAGTGCCCAGAGAGCGTTCCTGACAGATGCGCCGTTTGCTCTAGCAAGGCGCTCTGCTGGAAAGTTTCCTCTAACCACTAACACCCGCCTCCGCTCCCCGGAGCGGGCAGGACGCAGGCTGCCTGGATCCCCTCTTGACGGTGGAAGGGTTTTACACACACTCTGCTAGGCTGCCCCATCCGAGAATCTATCTGGCAGCCAAACTCCTCCAACCCCAGCGGACAGACTGTCCAAGGCAATCTGGCCCTTCGAGAAAACCGAGGTCCCCTCCCCGCTAAAGGGAGCACGCGCCCCGCTCTGCAGGGAACCTGCGCACTGGAGATAGAGGGCAAGCCCGGGGAGCGGGTGCGCAGGAGGGAGCCAAATGCAGAGGCAGAAGGGGCGCAGGAGTGAGCGGAGCGCAGGAGAGAGTGGGAGCCGAAAGCGGGGGCGGGGACGCGGCTGGGAGCCGGGCGCAGCGCTGGGCCAGGGAGAACAGGGCGCTGCAACTAGCGGGCTCAGGAAGAAGCGCGCGCGCAGGAACCGCGGGCGCCGGAAAGGCGCTAGCTAGGCGATCCGTCCCGGACTCCTCAAGCCGCTGAACTGCCAGTGGGAGGGGGTGCGGGGAGTTGGGGGGTGGGGGGGAACTAGATAGGGGCGTGCCTTTGCCCGGATTGGCTGCACGAGCCTGACGCGAGGCCCCGGGGGTTGGCTTGGGGGAGTGCGAGCGGGGTGGGCTGGGTGCTGGGTGCCGGGTCTGCGGGCTCAGCGCGCTCAGAAACATGCTGAGGTCCCGGTGGCTGTTCCAGCAGCAGCGGCGGCAGTGGCGGCGGCGACAGCGTTCGGCTCTGGCGAGGAAGGCGCCCGAAGCCCATGCCTCCGGCCCCGCGCCGCGGCTGCCCTGACCTGGCCGCGACCTCCCTCTGGGCGCCCTGCCGCCCCGGCCTCTGGGGTGTTCCCTAACCACGGCCCAGCCCCGCCACACCCCCCGCCCCCGGCCTCCGCAGCTCGGCATGGGCGCGGGGGCGCTCGCCCTGGGCGCCTCCGAGCCCTGCAACCTGTCGTCAGCCACGCCGCTCCCCGACGGCGCGGCCACGGCGGCGCGACTGCTGGTGCCCGCGTCGCCGCCCGCCTCGCTGCAGACCCCAGCCAGCGAGGGCCTTGCGGCGCTGTCGCAGCAGTGGACGGCGGGTATGGGCCTGCTGATGGCGCTCATCGTGCTGCTCATCGTGGCGGGCAACGTGCTGGTGATCGTGGCCATCGCCAAAACGCCGCGGCTGCAGACGCTCACCAACCTCTTCATCATGTCCCTGGCCAGCGCCGACCTGGTCATGGGGCTCCTGGTGGTGCCGTTCGGAGCCACCATCGTGGTGTGGGGCCGCTGGAAGTACGGCCTCTTCTTCTGCGAGCTCTGGACCTCGGTGGACGTGCTGTGCGTGACGGCCAGCATCGAGACCCTGTGTGTCATCGCCCTGGACCGCTACCTCGCCATCACGTCACCCTTCCGCTACCAGAGCCTGCTGACCCGCGCGCGGGCGCGGGCCCTCGTGTGCACCGTGTGGGCCATCTCGGCCCTGGTGTCCTTCCTGCCCATCCTCATGCATTGGTGGCGGGCAGAGAGCGAAGAGGCGCTCCGCTGCTACAACGACCCCCAGTGCTGCGATTTCGTCACCAACCGGGCCTACGCCATCACCTCGTCCGTGGTCTCCTTCTACGTGCCCCTGTGCATCATGGCTTTCGTGTACCTGCGCGTGTTCCGCGAGGCCCAGAAGCAGGTGAAGAAGATCGACAGCTGCGAGCGCCGCTTCCTTAGCGGCCCCGCGCGGCCGCCCTCGCCCGCGCCCTCGCCCTCGCCCTCGCCGGGGCCCCCGCGCGCCGCCTCCCCGCTGGCCAACGGGCGCGCCGGCAAGCGGCGGCCCTCGCGCCTCGTGGCCCTGCGCGAGCAGAAAGCGCTCAAGACGCTGGGCATCATCATGGGCGTGTTCACGCTCTGCTGGCTGCCCTTCTTCCTGGCCAACGTGGTGAAGGCCTTCCACCGCGACCTGGTCCCCGACCGCCTCTTCGTCTTCTTCAACTGGCTGGGCTACGCCAACTCGGCCTTCAACCCCATCATCTACTGCCGCAGCCCCGACTTCCGCAAGGCCTTCCAGCGCCTGCTGTGCTGCGCGCGCCGGGCCGCCTGCGGGGGCCACGCGGCTGCCGCTGACCGGCCGCGCGCCTCGGGCTGCCTGGCCGTAGCCGGGCCGCCGCCGTCGCCCGGGGCCGACGACGAGGACGACGACGACGACGTCGGGGCCGCGCCGCCCGCGCGCCTGCTGGAGCCCTGGGCCGGCTGCAACGGCGGGGCGGCGGCGGACAGCGACTCGAGCCTGGACGAGCCGAGCCGCCCGGGCTGCGCCTCGGAATCCAAGGTGTAGGGCCCGGCGGCGCCTCCCCAGCTCCCCCAGCCGGGACGCGGGCTCTGGCCCCCGGGAGCAGGAAAGCCCGGGCGCCCCTGAGCGGCTTCCCAGGAGAAAGAGATCTGTGTTTACTCAAGACCCAAAGCAGGTGAACTCAAAGCCCACAAACCTCGTCTGAAGCATCCAAGACAAACAGAAGAGCCACGGACCGTTGCCTGGAAAGGAAAGTTTGGGGAGGGGTGGGAGAGTGGCTTGCCGGTTTTTCTTGGGTTCTTTTTTCTGTTTGTGGTTCGGTCTTCTTTTGTGTGTGCGTGTGATGCATCTTTAGATTTTTTTTTTTTCCAGGTGGTTGTTGACACTTTCTGCGGGCACCGGGTAGGGGAAGGCAGAAGCATTAGGGCTTAAAAGTCTATCCACTTGGCTTCCATCCCATTCCCGGAACAGGAGCAGTCAGCCGGAGAGAGAAGGGGGAAATGACAATTGGTCAGGACGTGTTTCCTTTTGCTTTCCAGAAAAATTTCATTTTAATTCCTGAGTAATGATTTCTCCTGTTCTTAAAATAAAGGGAAAGGAGGGATGCAGAAATCACGTTTCAAGAAATTTTAAGCTATTCTTGGAACAAGCCTCACCTTGCTTTCCTTTTGTAGGACAAGCCTGCTGTCCCCGCGCGCCTCGGAGGTCAGGCCAAGGGGTGTCTACCTCACACTGTGCACATTGCACAGCACGATAGAAAGACTTGTTTATATTAAACAGCTTATTTATGTATCAATATTAGTCGGAAGGACCAGGCGCTGAGCCTCTGTGACATGTGACTCTGTCCATTGAAGACAGGACAGCAAAAGGAAAAAAAAGCGGAAACAGTTCAGATTACTGCACACGTTGGTAAAAACAAAAAACAACAAAAAAAGGAGTGGTTCAAAATGCCATTTTTGCACAGTGTTAGGAATTGTAAAGTCCACAGAAGATGTTACTTGCACAAAAAGAAATTAAATATTTTTTAACGGGGGGAGGGAGCGGGGGCGGATCTTAAAAACTAAAATAAAATTCAAACTATACTTCTGTTGTCTATTATGTTATTGAGCTAATGATTTATTGGAAAAATAGATTTTTATACTCTTATCATGGTACTGTAACTGTATCCATATTATAAATATAATTATCTTAAGAATTTTTTTATTATTTTTTTATGTCCCAGTGCCCATGTGAATCTGCTGGTAAAACTTCACACTTGTGTGTAAATTCTACTTCCTTTGTGTGTTTTGCCAAGTATTTATACTCTGGTGCAACTAACTACTGTGTGAGGAATTGGTCCATGTGCAATAAATACCAATGAAGCACGATCAAGATTATGTACCGTGTGTCTGTAAGGGGTCAGTGATCACGGAAAAGATAGTTGGTTTTGTTCAAAATATAGGCTGTATTTCCCATAGAGCTCCTTTAATAGCTTTTCATGACTCAATAACATAGCAAAATGCCTTGAGACCAAATAAGGCATGCACCTTCTGCGAGCTGCAGACTTGCTCTGAATTTTCACAGCTGGAGTCAAGGTATTCTAGACTACTTGTAGGTGTTTTCAATATCCCATTGGCTGCAGTCGACTTCAGAAATAACAGCTGGGATTGTGTGTCTTCTAAAAAAAGGTGATCAAGGCAGGTAACTCAGCCCCAACTTTGCGCAGAGACAGAGGAAAGGAGACTCACTCCGTAAACTGCCAGTTGCCCACTTGGAATTCGGTAAGTGGCTTCCATGACTTATTTTTGTTTTCTGATAGAAAACCAGAGCCTACAGATGATCGTGTGTGCAGATTTCTGCAGTGGCTGTTTAGAATGCAAAATGCTTTCATGGTTAAGCAAAAATTTATAAAAGCATTAAGTAAATATTTTTTTCTCTTGTGTAATTAAATAGACCATTTCAGCAGAAGTTCTGGGTGGACAGGTCGCAGGTAAAATCAAAAATGAAATTTTTAAACTTCCTAAGAAAATTATGACACCCTGTGGATAGGATACTTTTCATAACATTAGTTCCTAAGGAATGTATGGTGAAATTCCATCCTGGGATTAATTCTACATTCTCCAAAATAAGTTTATTTCAGTATTTATCTTTGGGTTTTTAAACAAGCTTTTCATTTCATGATCGTACAGTAAAGAAACTAAAGTAAAGAGTATAAAGTTTTGATTCATGCTGAGGTTAAACATGGACAGACTATTCTCTACAAGGAAAAATCAAGACTGACTATCCTTTTTTGCACTGGGCTATTCTAGAGACCAGGAGACAGTCTTCTGAGAAAGATTAGTGATGTAGATATTTTAAAGACCAGCAGAAGGTTGCATGAACAGCAGCCCTTTCGACAAAACCTGCTATGAAGTTTAAACCCTTTCTCCAGCAAAAATAAAGGTGAGGGGGTAGGGGGTGGATGGCAAAACTTCTTTAAAAATACGGAAATAAATACTTAAACTTATTTTGGAGAATGTGAAACAGTCAATCTCAGGATGAAATCTCCATACACTTTCCCCTAGGAACTAGATACAGTCCATTTCTATCCTCTCTTCCCCCACCACAAGTATGTAAGATGGATTTTGTTAGGGGGTTTGTTCCTCTTTATTTTAATTTTATACCAGAAAATTAATAGACTTAATGTCTACGGTTTCATCTGAAGAACACTCAAGCACCAGATTAATGCTTCACTTTCCTGACTTCCTATTTATTATTTTGTCTAGATAACTCTTCACAGTTGAATAAAAAGAAATTGGCCCAGCCCAAAATTTAAATATAGGCTCATCAAACCTCGGATCTTAAAATCATGAAAATCCTTTGAACTTTAATAGCATATCTATAATTTAACTACTTAGTAGACAACTCTGAATTCTTTAGTTAATTAGAGGAAACCACTATGATCTTGGGACTGGTTTATATGTATTTGTAGGAAATAGAAAAAGATTTTTCTGTGATTCCCTGAGTTCTCTGAGGATTACAAGGATTCAGAAACAGATGGTGTCAGTGATTCCAAATACCCCTGAAAACTTTTGGTTGTTTTTGAAGACAGACATTGATTTATATAGAAATGTGCAAAGCTGGTTTGCCAATCCCAATGGCTGTGTCAGTGGGAGGAGAAAACTGCCAATCCTGTCTAATCTGGTGAGAGAATGCACAGCAGAAATGACAGGAGGAGGGCAGTGAATATGCAGAAAATCAACCTTACCCCGTGGCTTTGTGTGAAATAAAACACCAAAGGCATAAACCTTAACATTACAGCAGTGACCTTCAGCATGACCAAGATTCGTTGATTTGCTACATTGGAAATTAAGTTTATGTTGTGGACTGCACAGTTCTCTAGTGTGTAGCAAGGTATTCCAGCATCTATAAATTCTCCTTCCCATGTGGAAATGTATAATTTGTATAGCTTGTCGCTTCATCCCTTGGTGAACTTGTTTGTATAAAACTTTGCAAATAGAGTTTATTTTTTCTGTCCATGCTTTCTTTGGAACTGGCATTATTAATAACTTCTAAGTGGCTATTGTGAAACCTTTCCTCGTTAAGCACATTTTCCTAGTTTATTTTAATTTCGCGTTTTGTTGAATCTACTGACTTCCTCTGGCGATATGTAAAATTGCCAGGCAGAAATTCTGCCCCCAAAGTATCAGAATAATATTAACACTTAAGTTTTTAGCAAGAGCTTCTAGGCAAGGGCCTAAAAGAAAATTATTAACTTTTGCTGCCATTTGTGGAACACTTTAAAGTTCTTTTTTTTTTTTTTTAACAAAGCTGAACCCATTACTTCTTTTGAAGGAAAAAAAGTAAAAACCGTAGCAGTAATTCAAATTAAATACATTGGCACAGATAATTTAGTTTTATTGGTACACTTCTGGCATAATGTGCTGAGAAACACTAATTCTTTTGGCTCCCTGCCAATTTGCTACTAATCAAAATGGAGAAGATATGCACTGTTTGGATTATACCTAAAAATAGTTGTGCTGCAGCCACATCAGCAAATGGAATTAAATTAATTTCTCTTTCTTCCCCTTCAAACACACCCTCCACATTATTAAATCTCCATCTAGAGTATTGCTCCTGAATCTCATAATTTGTGACAATGTGTCCCAAATTGCATTGCTATGTGGCAAATGGTTTTCAAGCAAACGCCACTGAAGTACTTTCGGAGGAATATACCTCTCCTGAAATTCCCACTTTTACCCTGCTCTCATTTACAGTCTCTACTGAGTAGCCCTTATAATGAATCAAAGAGACATTAATACTATAAATAGCTACTTTGTGGATTTGTGGGAGGAGGGAGATGGTTTCTGAATCAATAAATTTTGGTCACTTGATGGAGCAGTTAACAGGCTTCCAAAATCCAGTTGCTCTAAAGACAGACTAGAAATACAGAAGCCCAAGGAGTGCTCCCAACATGCTGCCGGTATTAGAGCATGATCTTTGCAGTCATGTTAGCAGCCCCCAAGAAAGCATTGGAAGTAATTGTCTACACCCTTTAAAGCTTCACCTTCACTTGGATGCTGGGCAAGGATCACTCTGAACATGTCCCTACATTCTGTACCTGAAGCCATTTCTTGTCTTGGACTCACCCTACTCACTAGCCCTTCTCTTGAGCATTTCTTCAGTTCTTCTTGAATAACCCAAAAACATCTAGAGCATGCAATTCTAGATAGATTATCTTCATAGCAGCATTAATTGCTCATGAAACAATTTCCTAAAGCTCTCATTTTCGACATCTCTCAACGCTTACAATTCCTTTTTTCCTCTCTCTCCACATTCCTTTACTCATATCTGTTAATTAGTATTAGCAAGATCACACTGCTTTCTTCTTATTTATGACACTCAGCTTACCAATGATGCATTTGAAATGGCTCAAGTTTGGATTTCTTCCTGAGAATTTCAGTGTTGCTCGTAATTATGAGTAGAAAAAAAATGTTCAACTGCTGTTAATACTTTTTCTCTAAAAATTCTTCATGTTGAGTTTAATATTCCGGGTGTGAGGCTTTCTTAACAGGCTTTATTTTTCTGTTTTTCTTGATTTTTCAGTTCTTAATTGTATGACCTTGTCAGTCCTTCCATATGACCTTGTCAGTCCTTCAGTATCCTGATTGCAAAGGATAACATTAGCTGTTCCACCTTCAACTATTTGTAAATTAGTTTTCCTAGTCATTATTAGGCTAGCTGATTTGTGGGAATTGTGGGTAAAACTCTAAGAGAGCAGAAAGTATTCAATCAGATGCCCAAAGAATTTGGCTGCTTGGGTTCTAACTGTGTTGGCCGTTCTGCCCAATGACCTTGGAGAAGTCAGTTGGTTTTCCTGCTACTCAGGTTCATTTCCCGCAAAGCCTGATCAGTAGCCTTTGTTTGTAAATCCCTTTGAGATGCTCTGATAGAAAGAGTTTATTGCTTTGCGAAGTCTAACATTTCAAATACTTCCTCTTGACCTTCTTTTCCCTTCCCTTGAAACTCCACCCACAAAATCCCTGTTGGTTTTTTTCAAGTAAAAAGAACAACTAAGAATAGCAAAAATATATGTAATACCCCATACATCCAAACAAGCAGTCTTTCACTTTTTATTACACTTAAAATTCCGCAGAAACCGCAACTGAATAAAATAATCTTCTCCAACATCGGATTTGAAAAACCTGTTTGCTGTGCGCTAAGCAAAAGTGGTTGTCTAATGATTCTTAAGCCACAGCCACTTAGAGAAAAATAAATCAATCTGGAAAGTTACTCAACTTTACAATTTTGTGTTGAGTTGTAGACGCTGAAAGCAACTATCTAGATTCTTCTCTTTTTCTTGGAATAGCAATTCAGAGATGAAAGGTACTGAGAGCAATGGGGGTTTGTATTTTTGCTTACCTCTCTTGTAGCTTGCAGGGTATTGCATTTCTGTGTTCCTGAATTAATAAACAGTGACCAATCTATGGGAACTTTACCGACCTAAGGTATCTGTTACCTGTTACGTTAACTACAGGAACTCACCTGCAACCTTGAGGTCCTTGTTTAGAAATGCTTTTAAAGAGTAAACGTTAGTAGATGTTCCAGTGACATTTTCAGCACTCCAGGGATTTTTCTAAAGCCATTAAAGGTAGCATTTTAGTCTTTTTAAAGAATTCATTGTGCTTAAATGATTCTCTGATCAATCCTGAAATAGTTTTGTTTTTTTCTTAAGATAGGCATACCTAAGTAAAACTCAGTCACTCAGAAAAATTCCAGAATCTTCGGCATGGGAAGGACCTTGATATGTCTAGTAAACAATACTCCTGTCCTCAAACAAGGCTACACCCAGATCAATGCAGACCACCGAGACCAAGGAGATTCAGTCTGAGGCTTAAAGACCTGATGTACCG